TAAACTAAGCAATTATCTCAAAAATAAAATAAAATAAAATAAAATAAAATAAAACAATATATGGTTATTTGTTAAACGATTCCAATGTTATTGCTTTTACACTTACAAGCAATTATATGAGCGCACTTAAGGAATTGTAACGCTAATATATAGCTGCAGATTTCGTTGATAATATATTTTCATGGTTTTGTATTTTAGAACTTGAATCAAGTCTTGTCTTCTATGGAACACATGCATATATAAGTGTTCTAAACTTGGCTATTATTAAGATTGAGTTTTGGATTCTACCAAAGAGCTTTACACAATTTTTTAATGATGCTTAATGTAAAGCTGAGCATTTTGGTTGGCCATCACTCTCATGTGCATACAAGGATAGTGGACCCGTGGGATATTCTTGTCTTCTACAAAGCTAAACCCAACTTTACCAAACTGATGGTTTGATAATCTCAATAGAAAAGCCACCTTCTTTTATCTTTGTAAAGTCTCACAAATAAAAAGAGGAAATTACTGTTACTGTTAAGGTTCCATTCATGAGTTTAAAATTCGAATTGTATTACAGTAAAAAATTCTTAAAAATAATCACATTTAATATTTTTATTACAGTAAAAAACTCTCAAATAAAATCATATCTCAATTCAAATTAAAAATTTGATTCAGCGAATTCATTGTAAATATGTGGCATTAACGATAAAAAAAAAAAAAAAATATATATATATATATATATATATACACACACATATATATACACACACAGAGAAAACTACATTGTATTTTGCCAAAGGTGCTATTTGGAAAGTGAGGGTAGAGAGCAGCCTTTTGTATTGGGAAGTAGTAGCAGCTTTGAAGGAGAAGGCGTGCAAGTCCACCATCCACCATACCTAGAGCTCGAACTTCGGTGCATGTCTATGCTTTTGCTTTGCTGACATATTAACATGTTTTTTTTTTTTTTTTTTTTTTGAATATGGGGTAATTTCATTTTGTCTTTTTTTGCTTCAATCCTCAAGTCTGATCATTTCATTAGAAAAGAAACATGATAGAAATCATAGTAATACTTGATTAATTATTACTATTTACCTCTTGTCGATTTACATTTTTTCTCTGGATGATGTGTATATATATAGGTTTGTCTAAGGTTTTTCTGGAGGGAATGTCCCCAACATAACATATAAAAATAAAATACGCAATATGGTGTTGCTACCAAAATAATTTTAGTAGCAAAATGTTTAGTAACAAAAGATCAATTTTTTTTGTAGTAATACTTGATTAATTATTACTATTTACCTCTGGTCCAGTTATATTTTTCTCTGGGTACGTAATGTATGTTTATATATATACAGGCTTGTTTCTTCTGGAGGGAGTGTCTCCCAACATAACATATAGAAATAGAATATGGAATATGGTATTTATTTAATATAATATTGACATTGAGAATACGAGACCGATATATTTTAGTGTTCGTGTTAGGTTAAATAGCAGTCATACTACATTAAATAACTATAATTTTACGTTTTTCACGTCTATATGTTACGTTAAAGAATGACGGTTCTTTCAGAAGTAGTATAAAAAAGGTATATATATATATATATTATTATTATTACACAATAGTGTGTAATAATTAGATGGTTTATAAGTGGACGTGGTAAATAGAATTGCTCAATTCATAATGTTGGTTCAGTTGGTAAAACAAAAAGATTTATGCAAAGTAACGGTTTCAATTTGCATCTATTATTATTACTATAATTATTGTATATTATATTATTGTTATTATCATTATTATTATAATAATTTTGATGAGATTTCAAACAAATTTAATTATGAGAATTTGTGCTGGGTAGCCTTTTGACTACCACATACAAAACATATGTCTACTGTTTTGTTAATTTAGGTGAATGACCAACTCAATTAAATGTAGCTTTTGATTAAGGGTGTTTTAAGTATGCTTAATCATATTTTTATTATTATTATTAGTATTATTACTACTATTGTTATGATTCGGCCTTAAGCTCTTTCGATAATTGAGTGTCCACTCGAAAAGTTGAACCAGTAGAGAGCAAAGTCCTTTCGTCACTTTATGCAAGCTAGCAAATTTTTTTCCTTTTTTTTTTTTTTTTTTTTGGGAATTTATTTAATGTTGCACATGCAATTGCAAGCCTTACAAAAGTGAGAGTCAAAATTCCCCTAAGTCAAAAGTGGGCATGAGTATGTGAGGCACAAAATATAAATATCTGTCTTAATTAAAAAAAAAAATCATCACTTTAATCTCTCTATTCTCCATAGTTCCCAGAAATTATTAACAAACTGATAGTGGGAACCCTGCTGATTAAGAATAGAATCTCTAAAGCAGAGTTGTGAAACTCTAGAAGATAGATGTGTCAAATTAAGCCTGCAATATTGAAAACCCTTATAATTGAAAACTTATTTTATTTGCTCAATCCTTATAAAAACCAATTTCTCTCTTTCAATTCACCGATTCGAGTTTTACTATAATAAAAAACTGTAAAAAATAATCACATTTTACTTTTTTACTACAGTAAAAAGCTCCCACATAAAGTTATATCTCAACTCGAATTAATAAACTAAACGGATTGTTAATTTTAGTGCTTCTGTTCTTGCCTTGAGAGTTGAGAGGATGAAGAAAACTAGGGTATCCATTCTGGCTAGAATTTCATGGGAATTTTAGGATTCTCTAGATTTCGCTACAGTACTACACATTCAGCATCTTATACCCATGACCTGTCATTCCTTCCTCTTTTTTATTTTTATTTTTTAATTTTCTCACTTTTTCTCTTTGATTTTTTTTTATTTTTTGTGAAATTGAAAAATTATCACAAATCTTTAATTTTATTAAATCAATGTATGAATCTAATAAAATTTTACAGGGCGCGCACCATATCAGTAACAATTATTAAATTGACACAAAAACTCTGTCATACATGATGTGATCTACTTTGTTGTCATCTAGAATTCCAATCTTAAAATATCAAAGTACATAAGTACAAAAACCTTACCAATTTGTAAAGAGTTGAAAAAAAATTAAAAAAAAATTAGATTCTACTTACTTACTGACTTATTATAAGTACTTTTTTAAAAAAAAAAAAAAAAACTCTACTTTAACTAATTTTAGTTTAAAAATTAGAATAGAAATATATTAGTTAATTTAAAGGATAGAAATTAAAAAAAAAAAAAAAAAAAAAAAAAAAAAAAAAAAAACTCTATGTAAGGCTTGCCATTGGTTCAAACAATCCCAAGTAAACGAGCTTTAACATATAGCAAGAAAAAGGGGGGGAAAAAAATTATACATGAGTGTTAAGAGTATTGAGAAATTATATATTTGTTCTTAATCGTTACAAATATATACCACCAGAATACATTTAATTAGAAAACGTTTACATTGTCTTTTTTAGTCGATAATTAATTTTAATTATAAATGAACCAAATATTCGTGAAATGAAAAAAGAAAACGAAAGGAAATACAAAGCAACAAAAAATTTGTCAAAAAAAAAAAAGATCAATCATAATTAGAACTATAGGCTCCGCCAATATAAAGAATTAGATGTCGTGTTTATAATTGATCTCGTTTTTATTTTTCACGTTTTTCGAGAAAAAATGAAAACGTTTTTAAAACGACTTTTGACGTAATAAAGACAAAAAACAGAAATGAAAACGATTTTTTGGTTTAGTGTAAAATGAGAGAGAAATGAAAAACAACTTTTAGTCGTTTTTCATTTTTTATTTTCGTTTTCTCTTCTCTCGAGCAGAGAGAGAGAGACATTAATGAGTTTTTTATACTGAAAACAATCTCTTAATAAAACTATCAAACGCATTTTTAAAAATAAATTCTGTCTGAGATAAAAAAACGTTTATATTTTTATTTTCATATAAAAAATAAAATTATTTTAAAACGAGTTTTAAACGCGCCGAGAGTTTTGACTCAAAATATTAACCTAGAGAGGGTAAACCTCCGGCAAATTACCACGCTTCATGACCGGCTAAGAGCCAAAGGAAAATACATTGCCCTAGTTACCTTGCAGTTGATAGTGTCTCTTATCCATACATCTGTCAAAGTCAAGTACTAGACTACAAGACACTCTTTTACCTTTAAATTTAGATTCCATGATAAATAAAAAAATAAAAAAAAAATCTGGATTTATAAAACTATTTCTGGATTTATATCAATCAATGCGTGACCGAAGATTTCATCCGTGTATTACGTGGTATTGAACTAATTTATGATGTTATGAAGAAGTCCGCCCATTTTGCACAGCACACGACACACACAAAATTGTATTCGACATTTGAGTACAGAATTTATAAAAAATATTGCACCATATTTTGCTCTATCTTTTATACGCACGTGTTGTTATTGACTGAAATATAGCCTGCTACATCCGCTTGAAACTGGAGTACATTTCCAAACAAAAATGGTACCTGGCCACATATATCTCTTTCCCGTTGTAAATTTATTCGGAAAACGTTAATCACTCCAAATCTCGAATCTTGCTATAGTACTATAGTTGATGTCAGTACTATTTACTAGTTGGATTTAATTTTGACCTACTAAAAGATCCATTATATATGCACAAGCAAATACAAGTAAATATGCATATACTAAAGACATTTCACGATTTGAATTTTCAATTTCAATTTTATTATAACTATAATTTTTTATAAAAAATTACATTTAAATTTTTTACTATAGTTAAAAGCTCTTATATGAAGTCACATAATCAACTCGAATTGAAAACTCAAATCGACGAACTGAACAAGACATGGCCCGTTTAGTTCGTCGATTTGAGTTTTTAATTTGAATTGATATGTGATTTTATGTGAAAACTTTTTACTGTAGTAAAAAAGTTAAATGTGACTGTTTCTAAGAATTTTTTATTATAATAAAACTTGAATCGGTAAAATGATCGAGACTAATCAATCACACCGTGGCTAATTCGTAATATATACCTTGGAAAGTATACTTTAAATTCCCCAAGGAATGATTTGGTGATGATACTATTTACTAATCCCCACAATCCATTTTAAGATCTAAGCGAGACAAACAAGCAAAAACAGCCAAACTAGGCTCAACCCCACCCTCCATTTGTTCTTTTTCCCTTTCTCCTTCCCCGATTTGCTCCAAACCCCAATACAACCACACCCACCACCGCACCACTTTTTCACAACCCTCACCTTATGCTGCTCACTCAATCCTCAAACCAAATCTCACTCCCAACTCCACACATTTTCATTTTCCCTTCACTTTCTCTCCTCTCTCACTCCCAATGACCCCAATTCAAACACCATTGCTAATCTTCTTCCTCATTTCCCTCCCCGCCTTTCCGGGTCTACCCGACCCGGACGCCGTCTCGATCCAGCCACTCCTCCCGAGCCCATCACCGCCGGCCACAATCCCGGCCTTCCCGGAGCAGTCCGACGTCGCCGGCTGCCAGCTGGACCTGCCCGAGCAGTTCTTCCACGGCGTCAAGTCGGCCTGCGGCGCGGAGCTCCGGCGAGGCCGGTGCTGCCCCGTGCTCGCCTCTTGGCTCTACGCCGCCTACTCGGCCACGGCGCTGGGCCGGGCCGGGAGAGTCGCCGGCCCAACTCCGGCGTCGGCCCACAACACGACTGCGTACGACATGCCGCTGCTGCCGGACGACTCGGAGACGTGCGTGGCCGACGTGGACAAGGCGCTGAGGGGAAGAGGGATAGAGCTGAAAAGGCCGAACGAGACGTGCGACGTCGTTTACTGCTACTGCGGGATTAGATTGCATCCTCTTAGCTGCCCAGAGGCCTTTTCAGTTAGCCAAGAAGGGAAAGTTGTTAGGGACAAGAGAGTGAGAAGATTGGAAAGAGATTGTTTGAGTAAACCTGGGAATGTGAATGGATTTCCAGGTCTTGGTGGGTGTTCCAAGTGCTTGAACTCTCTTCATCAGGTAATTTCTTTTTTTTTTCTTTTTTTCTTTTTTCTTGTGTGTGTGTGTTTATTTTTGGTTATAGAGTTTGTTTTATTTTGGTTGGTCTGGTTTAATGGTTAGGGATTTCTGATGTTATGTTCTTCCATGTTTAGCGATTTGGGAAAGTTTGTTCTTGTTTGGATTAATGCATTAACGCTCCATAAAGCGAGTGTGTTATAAACAAAGATTTCTTCCAAGGGTGGTTATGGTCTGATTTGCCTTTTGGCTAGTCAAAATTAAAGAATAATATGACAAGTTTTCATTCACGCGCCAAAAAGCGGGTGGGATTAGCATTGCCCTTTTTTCTTTTTTTCAAATCAGTGTCGTTTTCCTTGCCCATATGCCATTTTCATAGTGGCTGTAAAGATTTGTGTTTGTTGAATTTCACAGTTGCCATATATTCTTGTCTTTGAATTGAATGGTTTTATTCTTTCTTCCCAGTCCAAAGTGACTGGACGCAAACTGTGTGCAAGTTCGTGAAAGAGAGACTTATTTATTTGTTTTTAATTATCCATTTATTTTTTAATGTTCCGGGCTTAAGCTTTTATAGGGGAAAAATAATTTTTATGTGCTTAATATTTACCAAATTATAAGAAACTTCATTTCACTTTAATTAGTTGTCTCTAGTCTCTAAACAATTGTTACATTGTTCAATTTGTTGTGAATGTTTAACTGACTTTACGGTGACTTAAGACTTGAAAGTGGGTATCAGGCAGATTTTGATTTGATGCTCCAACCGTTAACTAATAAGCTCATTAAACCAATATGCACCAAACTTGTGCTTGTGCAATAAGTTGCAGTTGTGACCTTTCTTTTGGCTTTTCTTATTTATTTATGCAGCTCAACAACAACAAGAAAGCTTTGAATACAAGCAAATCAGACGACAGGACCACAAAAATGCACAACAAGGACTGTGAGCTGATGGGCCTAACATGGCTACTTGCGAAGAATCGGACGGCTTACATGCACACCGTGTCGGCAGTCATAAGGGCAATCATGTTGAACACGGATGGCTCAGATCATCCCCGCTCCTGCGCTCTCTCCAGCGACGGAATGCCTCTGGCCGTTGATTCTGCAGAAATATCCGATCAGTCCGCGTCCTCCGTCCTTGGACCAGCGCATGTATCTCTTTGCATAGTGTTGATTTCTTTGTTGTATATGCACTTCTTTGCATGGTCATTCCAGAACTAGAGAAATCAAAAATGGCATTGTGTAGATGATTTTTTTTTTCTTCTCTTTTTGTACTCTTGTGCTTTTTCTTTGTGTTATGACATGTTCATTTCCTCTTTTCCTTTGATGTTTCAAGATTTGTTGTTCTCTAAGCTGAGAGTGTAGTTTTTTTTATTCAAGTTAGAAGAAAAATATAAACACAAAGCACACTCAGATTATCATATTTTCATGTGGGCCTAGGCCAGCCTGTGCAAGAGTGGCCAATGCTTTGCCTTAGAGAGACAAGCTTTTAGAATATGGTGTCTTGTTTTAGTGGCATTATTTTTGTGACAGTTGTGCGCTTCACGGGAAATTTATGAAATGCCAATATCCCCACAAGAAGTCACCTTTACTTTGTATGGTCTGTAATTTGGAAATGCCAATAAGTTTGCAAGTTCGCTGATTCGAATTTTTAATTTGCGTTGAGATATGATTTTATGTGAAAATTTTTTACGATAGTAAAAAAGTTAGATGTGACTGTTTTTTAGAGCTTTTTATTATAGTAAAACTTAAATTTTAAACTTGATTCAATAAAATTGAATGGAGCCTAATATACTTTGGGACAATGTTACGGCTGTGTGAAAATTTAATTTTGGTTCTGGGTTATATATTTTGTTGAGGCCCCATATGCTATGAGACTGGATTTTTCTCGTGTTCTTACTGCTATTTATGGTTTTTTAATTTTTTTTTTCTTGAACTTGAAGATTGAGGGTGAAGAGAATTCAACTCATCTCCTGATAGAATTAGGTGTGAAATTACCGCTAAGTTTCGTAAGCAACCACCACTCCTATTTGTAGTTAGCTGTTAAGATTGTGAGATAATAGTAAATGGACATTTAGTCCTTCATTGTGTCCTCTAATTCAGATAAAAATTTAAACATATTGGAAATCTTGTTAGGCGTGAAATAAGAAGTAAACTAAAGTCGGACGAATTTTGGCCGCTCTTGTAGTTTTTTGGTTAATTGTCTGCATACTATTTGTTTGGTTAATTGTCTGCATACTATGGTTACCAATCTATTAAGTTAGTTATTGACAGAAAATGTGACATGATATAGAAAAATTAAAAAAAAAAAAAAAAAAAAAAAAAAAAAAAAAACTCCTTTATGTCAAGATTTTTAAAAGAAATAATATGTATTGTAGAAATAATGAGAGTCATTGAGCAATTTTATAAGCAATTAAACTATTAGCTCCTTTTCGTATAGTCACATGAAAGTGAAGTGCAGTTACACAGTAAGAGTTGTTTTTTCTACATCTAAGTTTCTCCTTAATTTGCTTGACCTAAACAATTTTGGAGATTCATCAGCGGCGGCTAACAACATTAGCAAAAGAATTTAATAAAAGGGGAAAATTTGTGAGAATTATTGAGGTTCAGGAAAAAAAATTAAAATTAAAGTTTCAAGAGACATTATGTGACAAGATCTATAGTTTGGGAGGGGAATGTGAAATTTTTTTCCCAATTTTCTTGTGGTTATACACACATATGGATGAGTTTTAAATGGTTACTTCTCCATCAATGGTCACTACTAAGTACAGAAATATGATGACATGGCGTAATAAAAATCTAATCTCATTACTTGTCATAATTGTTTTTAGTCAACTATTTAATTTATTACAACTGTCAAATCAATATCTTACAGTTAAAATGATAATAGCTATTGATATATAAATATTAAAGTAATCATTAAAACCACACATATACTGTGACCTTATTTTTTTAATCTGTGTTCTAGCAATTTGGATTTGTAATATTCAATTTAGTAAATTGAACCTTTTTTTTTTTATAAGAGAACTTTAAGGACACGTTTGGTAACGAGATTCATACCATAATTTGAATTATGATTCATAATTCACTATAATATTTTCTCTCATAAAAAATATACATAAATCAAAATAATTTTAATCAATGAACCAAATATCTTCTCAATTTAAAAATACACCTGCAACTCTACATACGATCAGTCACAATTTTAGCAATCTGTCACGGTTGTTGTCCAATAGCCAGCGTACGCCAATTAATGCGTGAGATGTTCTCATGCTTTGTGTACAAAATACACCCGTAACTTCTCATTGATTGATAAATTGGACCCTAAATTTTTAATTTTTGCATTTGGGATCCCAATTATCATTTATTAATTGAAATTGGGGTGTTCTTGCTTCAGTCAGTCAGTTTGGTTTTTGTGTTTTTTTTTTTCTTTTTATAATTTGGTTTTTGTCATCTTGTGTTTATTGGGCGACCAAAGCATTGCAATTATTCAAACCCGTAACTGGATCGACGGGGAAAAAATAACCAATCAAAACCGAGTGATAACGATTGGTTCATTAAAACTAGTTAGTACAAGGAGAATGGAAAAATTAAACCGGGTGCGTTTAGAACTCGTTTTAAAATAATTTTATTTTTTATATGAAAATAAAAATGAAAACGTTTTTAATTTTAAACATAAATTATTTTTAAAAATGCGTTTGTTAATTTTATCAAAAGATTATTTTTAGTATAAAAAAACCATTAATGTCTCTATTTCTTTCTCGCTGCTCGAGAGAGGAGAAAACAAAAATAAAAAATGAAAAACGACTAAAAGTCATTTTTCATTTCTCTATTATTTTACACTAAATCAAAAAATCGTTTTCATTTCCGTTTTTTATCTTTATTGCGCCAAACGTCATTTTATAAACGTTTTCATTTTTTTTTTTCGAAAAACGTAAAAAAAAAAAAGAGATTAATTTCAAACACGACCTAAGACTCCGTTTATTTTACCGATTCAAGTTTTGTTATAGTAAAAAGCTCTCAGAAACAGTCACATCTAACATTTTTGCTACCGTAAAAAGTTCTCACTTAAAGTCACATCTCAACTCAAATTAAAAATTCGAATCAACGAACTAAATGGGCCTTAATATTTCATCAACGGCCAACAATCAAACAACAAATTATCCGTATTTCCTCCATTTGCAGCAAAATCCATACCCATACACGGACTACTAGAAACGATGATGGAGTCCCACAAATCTTCTTTCTTCTCCAAATGAAATGATGTGGGAGGGCGGAGGAGCTGAGTGGTGGCCGGCAGTGGGAAAGAGATAATAACTTTATTCTTTAAATAACAATGGTACAAGTTTTTCATTAATTAGAATATAACATATATAGAGATTAATTAGAATATAACATATATAGAGTTGAATTTGAATCTAATCTAATATCTGAATAATATAAACTAAAAGCTTCTCTCCTAATAACTAATAATATAACATATTCAAATTTTAAAATAAAAGATAATTATTAATCCAATCTCTAAATACTATGGATAAACTAAATTAAATAATTACAAGATAAATACAAACTATTTAAATTTTAAAAAAACAATTATCCTCATCATGCCCTTTTAAAGTGGAGCTCCGCTAAGATAATATAATCTTAGACCACAATAGAAAAAACCAGTATGGGTGATGGGGTGTGTGGTTGAAAATCGTTAAGGAGAGCGTATGAGCGCACTAACGGCAAGGGCATAATAGGATACATGGGCATTCAAATGGCAATCCGTCGGTAGAGAGGAGAAGAGGGCACAAGAAGAGAGAAGACGGTGCATGAGCGCAAAAGCATGGACACAGGCGCAGAGGAATGTTAAGAGGAGACGTTTGGTTCATAAATTAGAAACATGTGATTATAACTATTTTTTATTTATGTGTATTTTTTGTGAGAGAAAACACTGTAGTGAACCATGAATCATGATTCAAATCATTGTTTAAATCCTCCAACCAAACGTCCAGACACCCTAAAATATGAAACCGAGAGCAATAAAAACATGAAAAACATAAATGAAGCAAAATCGACACACAAAATTTATAGAAGTTCGCCTCAATGTGAGACTGTGTCTCTTTCAGCAGCTACAACATTTTCACTATGATCAAGAAGAAGTTATCAGAGAAAATCGCACAACTCTCAACTCACAGCAAGAGAAAAATTGCAAAATTAGGGCAATCAAATTTTACAAGTGTGAAAACTCCAAACTACCCTTAATAAAATTTTGGTCCAGAGAGAGCCGCCCATGCTCCCCCGAGAGGGGGACTTTGTTGGGAATGGTGTCTAACATCATGAGATGTGAATATTTTGGATTTTATTATTTAATTAATAAAATATAAATTTCATTATTTATGTGCATGTATTGTTATATATTTTATAAATATCATTGAAAATTTTGCGATTATTTATGTGACATTAAATATGGTATATAATTGTTATATGCTAGAGGATAATATTTAAGGATAATAATCAAAATTTATCCGTAATGAATTTAATTAAAGTTCCGAATCTTTAATTAAAATATTATTAATACATATCATTCCTATTAAGAATGGAACAAGCTTATCTGCATCGTTGATATAGAGAGATATCTAATGAGTGTATTTTACATAATGAGATTATGTAGGACTAGGACACATACACAATATGAATTTCTAATAATTTTCGTTAAGTGTAGAAATTGTAATTGAGTCTACTAATGGTCATATACAGAATGATCTTAATCTTGAGTTATTAGTAAACTCCTATTTATAGATTTGTGTCTTTTGATTTACTCGGTATGGATTTTGAGATTCTAAATCTTATTCCTTGTATCTTGGAGATATGAAGAAATAAGTAGCCGGAAATGCTAATATTACGAGATGGAATCCATTCCTTTTTGAGAAAGAAGCAGATAAATAATTTCCTTAAGGATTGATTCAGTACTTGGATTAGTAGGAGCTCCAATTCCTAAATGTGCTTTATGAATCACTATCCATTAGAGAATCAATGATACTCAAGGATAAAGATATAATTAGAGAGGTTAGCGGATTTCACCTAGCTCTAATTATGAATTATTTATAGAGTATTGATCTATATGTAGTGATCATATCCAATGGACATTTCAAGTTCTTAGAAGTAAATTATGTCTATAATTTCGAGAGTGCAATTTCAAGTTTTTAGTGGAGTAACTTTTAGAATTAATAGAATTAATTAATTAAAGAGTTTAATTAATTATTAATTTTATTGGAGCTC